ATACCTGAGAAAATCAACTAAAAAGGAGGACAGATTTATTCTGGTTCATAGTTTCAGGATCTCAGTCCATGATTGCTTGGCCCCGTACCTTTGGCCTAAGGTGAGGCAGAACATCAGGATAAGAAGCAGATTTGGCAAAGATTTTCACCTTGTGGTGGCTGGAGAGCAAGGTTGGGGGGAGGTCCCTAGTATCTCCTTGAAGACACACTTTTAATGACGTTTCTTCTACTAGATTCCATAACATCCCAACAGTGCCACAGGATGGGGACCAAGCGTTTAAGACAAGGGCCCTTGGGGGACATTTGAGATCTAAACTATAGTAATCAAACTATGTTGCAATGTTTTCTTATCACAAACAGCCATGATGTTTCTCTTTCTGTATCTAAGAACCTTGACCATTACCTCTGGATTTCAGAAATTTGTTAAACCAGATAATTGGTATGATTGGAAGAAACTTAGTGATCCAACCTTCCAAGGACAGTTACCAATCTGTTCCTCTTCAAAAAGTACCTAAATCCAGCCATAGTCAATAACAAAATACATGAATGCAGTATCAAAGGTGCACATGTACCCATATCTTTTTATGTATTTTAAACTATAACACTTCTATTTTTGCTAAAATTATGCACCTTATATCAATCACACTTAGGTACATCATTCTTTGACATGATTTGTGAATTTACAGATAGATTATGCTGCCTATTTTCCATAGGAATTAAGTGGCCAAAATATAACTTGCCTAGAGTTATCAGGATTTGGTGAAGAAGCTAGAAATGTAAGGAATTCCACACTCATTATCTATATACATATTAGTAACTGATTCCAGTTGACAATGGGAAATGCCAATTTCATTGATTCCAAGGATAAGACACAAATTATTTTGGTGGACTGGTGATTTCTTTGTTCTTGTTTGAAAAGTTACCCTACCCCAGTTCCTAATTTCTACCCTCCTCCCCAAAGCAATAATAAAATATCCGTTTTTTTCTTTAAAGTTTTCTGGGATATTTCAGTGAGTTTGGAGGTCTAATATTGTTCTCCTTGGGGAATTCAGTTTTCAATAATATGAATAATTATTATAAGTAACATTTATGTAGCCCTCCACTATGCAGATGCTGTTCTCAGTATTTTACATATTTTAACCAATTTCATCATCATAAGTATGCTAGAAGGATTGTATCATTACCATTATCCTCGTTTTACTATACATGAGGACACTGATACACAGAGCGGGTTTTGACACTTGACCAAGGCCAGTAGGTAGCAGAGCTGGGATTTGAACTCAGGCTGACTCCAGAATCCATGTACTTTATAAAAACCCCTCAGGTGTTAGTAATTTCTGTTACTGTTCATTTACATCATGGACCAGGCAGAATTTGAAGTATTCAAACTTACCTTTCAATCCCATATTCGATTTGTAAACTTGTATATCATTCTGGGTCTCAGTTCTTTTTCTTGTAAAATGGGAATAATATTTGCAATGGCTATTTTATGTTGAGTCAAACAAATGAAATGCTGTATATGAAGGTGCTTTGTGAAGAGTTATTACTTCAGCTTTGGGCATGTAATTTAGGATGTAGCTTCAGCTGCCTTTGATGAGAATGCTGCATGAGCTAAATTATTTCAAAGCTAGAAGATGGCAGAACTATGGCCTAAACCCAAGATTGTCAGTATATAAATCCCATGTTTTTAACTATACCATTGCACTTTCCTCCAATGCCCTCTCACTATAAAACTTGATAGTATACTATTGTTCTTCTGTATAGTTTTGTTAAAGATAAGAAAATACACATAAATGGTCCCTCAAGTTTTCCCCACAAAATGTCTCTCTGGTAGGCCTAAATTGGCTATACCTCTAACTTATATGCAGAGTTGACAGAGGGCAACAGAGGAAAAATAGGCCAAGCAACAAAAGCTATAATGTGGATATCCAAGTAAGTGGAAATGGTTGGCTGAGGAAGATTCTTCTTCCCTTGGCAAACTGGGGACATTCCAGCCAGGCGCCTGTGAGCCTCTGATGTGGAAAGCAGCTTCAATGCCCACATGAGAGGGGAATGATTATCAGTCCGGCAAACTTCTGAGGGTACTCAGAGAGGAATGATAACAGGTCTCTCCGTTAAAAGAGAAGGTAAAAACAAAAAGTCTAGGGGCTGGGGTTGTGGCTCAGTGGTAGAGCACTCGCCTAGCACATGTGAGGCGCTGGGTTCAAGCCTCAGCACAACATAAAAATAAATAAATAAATAGATAAATAAATAAAGGCATTAAAAAAAAGTCTAGCTAAAACAGACACCATACAAATAACCATGTTAGCACTCTCTCTTACCCCTCTGGCAAATCCTTTGCTAAGAGTTATAAATAATTCCAAGACCACCAAAGTATAAATCTTTAAATCACTCAAGAAATATGTATTGGCTAAATATCTCCTGTCATTAAACTCATGCTTGTGCTTGGGGTTTCCTAGAAGTCCTTTACTAGGTTAAATTCTAGTAAAATGAATAGGTGAGACCTTAGAAACTATTGCATCCCAGATTCTGTATCATGGAAACACAAATGCAATACATTTGGAGATCTTAAATTCTCTGAATGAAAAAAAAGTGGGGGGAGGGGAAAAGGAAAAGAAGAAGAGAAAAAAGACATTGGAAAAGTATGAAAACATTTCGGCAAGGCCAGTTGTGCTTGAATATACTGTAATAGATCTTAAATAAAATGCAGAAATCATTACTAGAACCCCTTTAATATATATCAAAATTCTTTTTCTTTTTTTATATAAACTATGAAGAAAATTAAGTACTTTGTAAGTCTAACATAGATCCTTTTATTAAAAATGTAAATACTAAATATATTTCCCTTTTTATGCTACATCTCTGCTGCCCATTCATTTCTTCATTCACTTCTTTAGCAAACATCTCTGACCACTTAAGCTTGGTGGGGCTGGCCCTTGGGTAAGAGCTTCAATTGTGGTTCTTGCTGCCTGGGCTCAGTTTAATTGCTCAACAGAGGCAATAACTATAACGAAGACTAAAAGAAAATGCTATCTCAGCTAAAATACAGGAAGTGGTGGAGCTTAAGGAAGGGGTGAGGTAAAGGAGTAAAGCACTCTATTTGGTGTTCTTTGCACTGGTTCTGTTTCCTGGGTGGAGAAATATTATTTCTCTTCCATTTTGAGCTACTGTCCTCTGTTCTTCCCTCCTGCCAGGATTCTATTTCTCTTGCTAGGAAGGAAGAAGAAAACCAAAGGAGCTAAGGGGTCGACAGGGTAAAAGGGAAAGAGGAAGGTGTTCAGTTCAGGTAGCTTGCTATGCTGGGTCCCCTTCTCTTGAAGTACTAGGGAAAGGAAGGGCTGAATTCTGATATTGTGAGAGTTGGAAGGGACCACGGAAGTCATTCTTCTTGTTTTATAGCTGGAACCATATTGCCTAACCATTTACCAAAGGACACCTAGCCAATTAGGTGCATCAGTGGAACTAGAACCCCACACTTGACTTCCAGGGAGGTTAGAATGGAACACTTTTCATCCTTTGTGCTGTGGGGTAGCCAGAGATGGAAACCTCACTACTGCCTTTAGTATTCTCTGTAGCTATTACTTTGGCTATCTTCCTATTAGGCAGTCCTTCATTTCTGGTCCTCCAAAAAGAACAATTGATTAATCTAGTCACCATAATCTTCTGTTCCTAATGACAATTACATCATGTTCACAGCTCACAGCATTTTTCATCTTGTCATTTTTGTTACTCTTCCTGTAAGTTAATAAGCTATAGTTTCCCTATATTCTTTTGAAAAAGTAGCAACCCAAACTGAACTCACAGCTTTAAAAAGTCTGTTTGGTGAAGTATAATGGTGTCCCTATGTTCTGCTTTTTAACGCATCCTACTTTGTGACTTTTGGTTTTCTTCTCTCTCTATTTTTTTTTTTTTTTTGGTGCTGGAGATTGAACCCGCGGCGCTTTACCACTGACTTACACCCCACACCCACTTTTTAAATTTTGAGACAGTCTCACGAAATTGCTGAGGCTGGTCTTGAACTTACAACCTTCTTGTACAATCTTCTTGCCTCCGTCTCCTGAGTCGCTGGGATTTCAGCCTTGCACCACCGCACGCAAGTAAGGGCATTCTTCTTGAATGCTGTCCTGTGTATGTGAAGCACCCCCCCCCCCCCCTTTTTGTCATTTTTGTCAGGATAACCAGGTGTCAGATACATGTCAATAAAACTAATCACCTTGTAACAGAGTTTGAACTGGAATTAATGCAGGTGTTATGCTCTGTTTCAACTTTAGCAGCCCAAGGTCCATAACTGCTGAGTCTAGCTGGTTGGCAACTGCACCCTAGGCATTTAAGGCTTTCTCAGGACCCTACGTGGTGAAATTTTGTGAGACTCAGAACTGAATTTCTCGAAGACAGGACTTATGTTTGTGATTAAAACTCTTGACCAACCCAGACCCACAAGCCCAGCAAGGCGACTGTATCTCCTCTTTTCAAGGTGATGAAACAGGGCTGGAATGCAGCGGAGCCAACGAGTTTGTCCTGCCAGACAAGTTTTTGCTTCTGGACGCCTCTGAGCCTCCGAAACACCGCAGTGTGTCAAGCTGAGACGGCCGCGGAGTCCCTTGAAGGGAGTACTGCTGAGCACGGCCACTGTTTACCAGATTTACCGTGCGTCTTAGAGTAGTTCTTCCAGCTCTCACAGTAACTCTGGGACGAGGCTCCAAGTTCGCACTCTTCGTTGCACGCGCCGAGCTGATGCCTCCTCCCACTCCCCGACCCTTTCCGAGTCCCCCAGCCTCTCGCACCTTTTTCAAAGCCCCCACCTGTGCGCGCGGAGACGGGGGCGGGGCCGGGGGGGGGACTCGGAACCGTGACGTCACCGCCGCGAGGGAGGCGGGGCTGTGGGAACCGCAGTGCAGCGCAGAGGGGCGGGGCGGGGCGGGGCCTACGGCGCGTGACCTGGCTGCGGGAGGCAGGAACCCGAGAAAGGTGTTGGGGGGGGGCCGGGACCTGCCGACTCCGGAGTCCGGCTCCGGGAGGCGGGGCGGGGAGTGGCCCTGCCCAGGCTGCGGGTGCCGGGCGAAGCGCTAAAGCGGGTCAGGCTTCCTTCTTCTCTCCTCGCCTTTCCTCCCCTCCCACCTGGGCCTCTGCGTGGAGACGCGCACCTGGCAACGGGCGGCCGCGCTGCGTCCCCGCCTTCTCCACTGGGCCGGGTGCCCCGAGCCTACCCAGCACCCCGAGGCGGTCGTCGGCGCCGCGCTTCCTGGAGACGGCCTCGAGCGCTTGCTCGTTGATGCCGTTTTGGGGGTGACCCGGCGCAGCACGGCTGCGGCTCTATGGTGGGGGGGTGTTAGGGGTCGCGGCTCGGCTGGGCGTCGAGTGCGCGGCTGCGGGGTGGCAAAGCGGCCAGCGAGCAAGACCCCGCGCGCGGCTCGGATTTCGGGGCTCTGGAGGAGGCCGCCACGGCTGCGCGGGAGCGGGAGATGTTGGAGCTGAGGCACCGGGGAAGTTGCCCCGGCCCCGGGGGAGCGGTGGCGCCGCCACCCCGCGAGGGAGAGGCGGCTGGTGGGGACCACGAAACCGAGAGCACCAGCGACAAAGTAAGTGGAGCCGCGAGAGGCACTCGACCGCGTCCCGGCCGGGTCCTATTTGGGGCTGGGACACTTGGGGGGCGAGGATGGTGTCCACACAATGTCAGGTGAAGGTGCGGGTCGTTTGCTGCACCTTCCTGTCGGTGTGATTTTCTTTTCTCCTTTCCCCTGTGGGTCGAGAACCCGGTCCCCGGTGACGGTGCGTTTCCCGGGATGAACGCCACGCTGCCAGTATAGCTTGATACATAAACTTGGCCACAATTATCTTCTTCCCTATTCCAACTCCCTTATTTGAGGTCTGGGACCGACGCTGAACTCAGGATGGAGCCTGTCACCCTATGAGCTGCAGTTTTCTGATACCTGCCACTTCACTTCTTTTTCTAGTTAGAGGGGGCAAAGTTGGGCTAAACTTAAAGACTTGCATCTAACATGTCATTGGATCTTGACGGTGGAGGATTAGCTTCTTGAGCTAACTTGGCGCTTTCATTTCCTATGCCCTTTCTTAGTAATAATAGATTTTGGAGATTTGAGACTATCTCGTACACGTGATATACTTGTAAACTTTCAGCCTCTTTTGAGTTCACTAGCAGATAGTGCAGTTCTTCTGTCAATAGATTTCATTACCCGACATGGTAATTCATGAGGAATTTCCACTCCCTTTTCTGTAGATTAACTTGCTTCACATTTAAGAGTAAGTAGAGGTAGGACTACTATTCTATTTAAGCTAGAAAAAGACTTCCAGTGTATTTGGTAATATAGTGGTGCAAGTAAGACTTTTGAAGAAGTGCAGTTTTATGATCTTTTGGACTGGATAATTTGGGAACTTGAACCCGAGAATAGATTGTTTTATAAAACCTTCTGTTTGTAAAATTCTGTTTTGTTTGAGAAACATAAAACATGAAACTATTCTAGAAGCATTCCTTTTTTTTGGAAGCAGGTATCTGTATTGCAGTTTGAATTACAGAAGTGAAGTGGATTGCCCAGGGTCAAATTCAATGTCTTTTGGAACTAGAACCTAAGTTTCCTGATTCCTTTTCTTTTGGTTTGTACCATTACTTAGACTCCCTGACAGTTCTGATTTGGGAAAGGTTCCACCTGAAAGTTAATATTGATGAACTTGATATAACCCAAGTTACAAAGCACTGATAAGAAAATATCACATAATATCATGAAGCAATAAATGTAACAGTGATTTTAGGACTGAAACTTCAGAATCAATGTGATGACATCTTATTTTCTATTCTTTAATAGGGGGTGGAATAAAATGAGAATCAATGGTAGAACATATGTATCAAGGAATTACACAAAATATAACAGTTTCCAGGTACTGAAAGTTGAAGTTATAAAGCTAGAAATCATGATCCCAGAATAGTCTTTGTGAAAGCTGCCTTGGAAGGCCAACCAAAAATAGAATTAATTAGGTTGGGATTTATTTTGTTTTAGCACTGGTATACTTTATTTTTAAAATTTTATATCTGTTCTTTTTAGATATATATGACAGTAGAGTATATTTTGACATACATACATGGAGTATAACTTCCCATTCTTGTGATCACACATGATGTGGAGTTATACTGGTAGTGTATTCATATATGAAAGTTATGACTGGTATACTTTAAAAACAAGGAAATAGCAGTTTACACATGTTGACTTTCATAACTGGAGAAGCTAGCAAGCTTTTATTAAAACATGTTCTGGGAGCCATGTGTAAAATAACTTTTGAATTAGTTTTATCTTTTAACACTATAATGTATTTAAAATGGAAACTATTTCTGTGGTGTGATTTGACTCATTAGAACTGTTTTTTATAGCAGTGACTGGGTACCTCACAGCTTATTTAGTTATTTATGAATGCTCAACTGTTGGCTTTCATTAATACATGCCCACCTGGATTTTGTTTTTTGAGAATAAATGTTACCATATGTAACCTGTTTTGTTAAGCTTTCTTAGACAGTGTAACTCTACCTCATGTGCAATCATAAGGATGAACATATTCAAGCTGTGTTAGAATATTGCTGTACTTTTAGATTCATCATAAGAAACTCTTGACCTGGCAAGCTTTGAGACGTTGAACTCTTATCCTCTATCTGTCTTTTCTTATCAGGGTGTGTATTTGAATATACCTATATTTTCAGGTCAAGGGCTATTTTAAAATCAGTTTGCACATTGGAGGCTGGTTAATATTTGGTCCATTTAAACTCTTTAAGTGCCTTTTCTGTTTAAGTTCCAATAAAGGCAAAACTCTTAGGGAATTAATGAAAGGAGTGGAGGAGGTGTATTGTATTCTGCTATTATTGAACACTCCCATGCACTGCCATTTTGTAGACTTTATAGTGCTGTTATTAACATGACATTCTCAATTGTTTAGTCCTGTAGATTTAGGCTGAGAGAAGGCTTTGTGCTCCAGAGAATTAGCAAGTAAAAAAAGTGCTTCTTACCTGCAGGGTAATGTTCCCAGTCCTTAAGTGCTGGGTTGGTACTTGAAGATGACAGGGACCACCCTCTCAAGGAAACCTCCCCCACAAGACATATATGAGTTAAATTTATTAGACATCTGTACAAAGCTCATTGTTAACATGGAAGGCCTGGCTGGACCCAACTTGGTGGCTTATAGGAAGAGCTTTAAAGAGGAAATAAGGATGGATTGGGAATTAAAAGATGCCTGATTGCCATGACTTGAGAGACTGAGACAGGAAGATCATAAATTCAAGGCCAGCTACAGTAACTTAATGAGACCCTGTCTCAAAATAAAAAATAAAAAGAGCTGGGACTGTAGCTTAGTGGCAAAGCACCACTGGGTTCAATCCCCAGTATGAGAGAGAGAGAGAGAAAAGATAAAATGCCTGGGACTCAACCAGGTAGAAACAAGGGTTGAGGCAGGGTGTTCTAGGCAAAGGGCCTGTGGAACTGTTCCTTGAATTGGCATTCTAGGCATGGAAAACTAAAAGTAGATGGGAAATCCTGGAGCCTAAACTGCATGTTTGGGAGGTGGGTTCAGAAGCTGAGAGTCTTGTGAAGATATTGGGCTTTATTCATGGACTCTGGGAAGCCTCTGAAAGTTTTTCAGAGATAATAGGAAAAAAGTGCTTATTACCTGAGGGGAAATGTCCACAGTCCTTAAATACTGGATTGGTACATTTCTGTGGCAGTGATCTGAGGAAAGTCCTGGAAGGAAGAATGATCTACCAGAAAGAAACTAAATAGAAGGGTATTAGAAATGCTATAGATGTGAGTTGATGGGGGCTGATAAAAAAGTCTAGTAGGGTGGTGAAATTGGGGTTGAGAGAGAGGATATTTCAAATACTGATGATGGGACTTAGACAAAGGTGACCACAATAAGACTAATAAAAGGACTTACTGGGAGACATATTTTGATAGGTAAGAGACTTTCAGGAAAGAAGCAACAAGTATTGGGAAGTTGTTTGAATTAAGAGTGAGTTTGGAAGAACTCCCTTGGGCTGGGTGAGTCATTCTCCAAACTAGGGAGGTTGAGAAATGGGGCCTAAGTGAAGGGTAGGTGGTTCAGTGTGTGATGGAAGCTGAAATGAAAGGTCCAGGTCTCTGCGGATGCCAGTTCCTTATTAGAGAGGGTGAGAGAACTGAAGATGGAGCCCTGGGGGATGTCCATGTTTAGAGGAAGGTTGGAGATGCAGGGAAGTAACCAAGATAATGAGGGTCCTGGGTGCAAAAGGAGGAAGGATTGCTAGGAGAATATTATTAATAGTACCTAGGAGTAAGGGGCTGAGACATAGAACAATGAGGTTAGCCAGCAATCTTAGTAGAAGCCAGGTTTCAGATTGAGGAAAATGAGAGGAGAAATGTTGGTAGTTACTGGTAGAAAGTGATAGTGAAAAGGAATACAGGATAGCAGAGAAGACAGGAGGATCAAGTGAAGATTTTTTTTCCCCTAATGGAAAGGAGATATGTTTGTTTGAAAGACATCGAATGAGGGTGAAGGTGCTCATGAGAATGGTTAGGCCCCAGAAGAAAGAAGGCAGATGTGGGGTAGAGAATATAGTTGATAGTGATATGCAAGGAAAGGAGAGGTTGCATGCTCATATCTTAAGAAAAAAGAGCAGGAATGGAGGGTAAGCATAGAAACATTTGAAATCCAGAAGAGGAAAAAATCCAAGTGTTGGACTGGGCCCTCAATTTTCTCAGTAAAGTAGGTACTCAGAACCAATGAGCTTCAAGGGGTCTTGGAAATGATTTAGTTTAAACTGTAATACCTTTTTAGTGTAAATTTTAGGGAGCATGATATGAAATGACCAAGTAGCAATTAATAGAATTATCAAACCGAGTGAAGATTCAGTTGAACACAAACTTGTTGTGTGCTAAATTAGCATAGTTCTTACTTAACCCAGCAGTAGGTCCTAATATATGATGCTTGTGGGGTGATTTAGAATTCCCAGAGTACTTCTTTTATTATTTGTTTCTCACAACAAACATACATGTTAGAAATAACCCAATTTAATCACTGAGAAGATGGATACTGGGAGCCATTTAGGCCTGGGAATGCCTGAAGGTCAAGGATACCTTAAGTGTATCCTTGCATAGCCAGGATTGAAGTGTTTGGCCACAGGTTTGCGTGGTTGGGGAAGTGGGCTCCTGAAGTGATTGAGGGGGATTGAGCATTGGAAGGACACTCTGTGACCTGAGTTAGTAGACTGAGAAGTGGAAGAGAAGGGTGTTCACCTTGAAGTTGTGGTGTGCTTTCAGACTAGGTCCTTGGGGTGCTTGTAGTAGATTTTGGTTTATAAAGTTGAGGGGGGAAATGATCTGGAGATTAGTTCCCTTCTATCTTTCCCCATTTGAGATTGTGCAACTTCTTTTATAATTCTGCTAATAGTATTTAAATAAATTATACATTTTGGAACAATTTAGATTTACAGAAAAGTTACAAAGAAAGCAGAATTTCTGTGTATTCTTCACCTGATTTTCCCTAATGTGATTATATCTTATGTAACTGTGATACATTTGTCAAAATTTTAGCAAGTTACCACAGGTGT